GTTATATGTTTAAAAAGATTTATTGTCTGTGTAGCGCTAAACATTATGTTGGCATACTCTTAGATTTATTTTTATATTTAAATAAAGAATATAAAATAGAAAAATATATTTTATTAATGACTAAAAAATATTATGAACATCCCTATTGATTTATTGACAGTGCAATTTTCGCGCGTTTTTTCCGTAATCCAGTAAAGAGTCCTCATTGCAGAGAAAACATTGTGCTAATATATATAAATATCTACAATATTACTAAGTACCATTCTAGTAGGTTTTATAATATTAACACGGAAATTACGTCATCATGTGACCACATTACAACTCATGCATTGCCATTCTGGAAGACTCAGTTGTCATGCCTTCATACCCTGTATTTTCACTGCCCTTCAATCGAAACACAGCTTACAGAGCAAGCTACTTAAGGTCTAAAATAGGTGGGACTGAGATGACTTTGTATGAGTTCATACAAAGTCAGTCCCATATATACGCGTACCACTACAATTTTGTATCATTGAAGAGTTGATTGTGCTAGTGAACACATGGTAGTAACCATAGACAAATCGACGCAATTTTTAAATTCTTTCCCAGCTGAATTCCTTAGTGATTTTGCCAAATTGAGAAATTGAGAAAACTTTTCTTAATTTGGCATAATTACCGAAAGAATAAAGAAATTACGTCGATTGGTCTATGGTAGTAGCTTTCACTAGCACAATCAACTGTACAATGATATAAAAAAGTATATAACATTAATAATATATTAACAACCGAAAACTCCACGGGAGGTCCATGTCTTAGAATTCTTGATCGTTTGATAAACGGATTTTTGGATTAATTGGTTCCATATATTTAGATACATACAGATAAATAGATAGATATTGCCTTTATTTACATCAACAGATACGCATACATTATTTTCTTTTTTATATACTTTGCTTTTTTTAATTTTACTATACTGTATATATTGTTCGGACTACTGTAATGCTGTTGGCCGCAGCTGGCCTTTACAGCTTCACCGGACGGTAGGAGGCGAGTGCAGATGGCACTCCAAACCCGCGGAAGGACTTATGGAGCAGCTAAAGGCCAGATTCCGCCTGACGAATACGACTTTAGTCTGAGGGCACCGCTTGGGGTTCGAACCTCGGCTCAGGCCGTCGTAGCTTCAATCTCCGTTTGAATTGGACGGGGATCGATCGGAGTGGAACTATATTGGTAGTTTTTCAAACCTATTTCCCAGTACAGAGACAGTCGACTTAGTAAGCTTTGGTTACTTTATAACTGCATCATGTTTCAATACACACATCTTCAAAAACGTACACACCGTTCGGAATTTACATAAAACTGTCCAATAAAGCGAAATTTTATCATCCTATTAATTAGGATTCCCAATAAAATTACTAAAAGAACACATGTTCGAAATGTAACCATGTTTATTATGTTCCAGGGCCGTAACTTTTAATGTAATATGGTCGTACATGGTCATTAATTAGCCCCCCGGGGCACGACCGTAAAAGTAACGTTTTACGGGTCATAGATAAGATCTCGGTGTCACGAATCTGAATACAAATAGTTAGGCCTATTCGGTAATGTTCCAGCGCCGTTAATTGATAGTTTAAAATTAATAACACTATAAAACAACGGGCGCAATAAAACGTTCGACTAGTTGTGGCTTTTAGACGTTTATATATAATACGATTTTATATAAGAAAACAGTGTAATCAGTGATACATACACACACGTATGGACAGTGTAGGATAGTTACATATATATACTAGCTGTCCCGGCAAACGTTGTTTTGCCATATAAATTAATAACGCTATAAAAAAATAGGGGTTGATGATAGAAGGGTGAAAATTTAGGATTGTATGTATTTTTGTATGTTGTATCATAAAAAAAAATAAAAATAAAAATTTTGTCTAAAAAATAAAAAATAAAAATTTAGGGGTGGACTACCCCTAACAATTACCCCCTACAAAAACAACAAGGGGGATGAAAAATAGATGTTGGCCGATTCTCAGACCTACTCAATACGCTCACAAAATTTCATGTGAATCGGTCAAGCCGTTTCGGAGGAGTATGGGAACGAAAACTGTGACACGAGAATTTTATATATAAGATATATATATATATATATATAGGTAGTGTACGGCCAACCGCACAAGACAGCTTACTGTGCACTACACAATTGCAATTTCACCTCATTATATTTATTATAGTAATAAAAATCAGGTGTTCTAGTAGCACTCAACCAAGGCAGTTTAATCAGCAAAAACCCCTCATCAATCAATATATCAACTAATATCATTATCACGGAACTGTGGACTTAAACCCCCACATTCTTTGGTCCTTCGAGTCTTGGACCTTACTCCCGTTCGGTCGAAGGCGGGATCTCGCGTTGAAAGAACTTTAAAAAGTGACAATCGCGGAATATTGTAAGTGGTGTCACGTGGGCCGAGAGCACGGTTCAGACATCATAGCATCATCAAATCAGAGCAGAGCATCATCAGCAGCATAGCAGAACATCGTCATCAACATCAGTGTATTGCACAGTAAGCAGGCATGTGCAGTTGCCCGTACAGGTCGATTGTTTCTTGATATGGAATAAATAGAATAGAATAGAATAGAAAATCATTTATTCAAGTAAACTTAATTTAAGCACTTTTGAATAGTCACATTTTTTCATCCTACTGCTCACTCGGCATGCAGACTACCACTCGTTCGGAAAGCTGTGTCATCACAAGAACGAGCAAGAAACTTGTGTGTTGCTCTTTTAAATAATCCTTGTAAGTTTACATTTACAAGTCGAAACGTGTGAATACAAACTACCAACAAGCACTAATTTTTTGGGTCAAATATAAATATGCAATAAGATTAAATCAGTCGTAGTGATAAGAGCAGACCAGTCCCTAAAAGCAGCACTCGTTCACGAGTATGACGAATGAGCCAGCCATCAATGCGCTCGACCATATTTTAGAGAGCCCAATGACCCGGCCCACCACGTTGCCACATGTCTGGACATTTTAGTGAGCATGACTACTCATTCCACTCGACCACGTCACAGCTACAAAAATTACTATATGGTAGTTTCAGTATTCTCACTTTACATAAGGATGCATGCGGCAATCAATACAAAAGCCGCTATCATAATAAAATAACCGTTTATATTCCAAAATTATTGTATTTTATTGAAGTTCACAAACAATTATGCAGCGTACCGACGCTCCACAATCAGGATGTGATCATCAGGGTGAATCTAACATTGACACATCACACATCATCTACTAAACTCAACTGTCATATAACAGTTGAGTTTAGTAGATGCTCATAATTATTATGTGCAATTATTCTATAGGCAGTATCAGTATTATATCTAACATATAAATAAAATTGGAGTGTCTGTTTGTAATATTGAAATAACCGTTTTTTACTACATGCATATGAATATAAATACGGTACATACACCAAATAATTTTTTTTACAATTTTTGTCTGTCTGTCTGTTTGTTCCGGCTAATCTCTGAAATGGCTGGACCGATTTTAACGGGACGTTTTTTGGCAGGTAGCTGGTGTATTAAGGAGCAACTCAGGCTATATTTATTTAAGAAAAGTAAAGTTAAGTTCCACGCGGACGAAGTCGCGAAAACAGCTAGTACTTAAATAAATAAAAATAGAAAGCCTTTTGTTTCTTACAGATTAAAAATAATGTTAAATTTTGTGTATAATAGATACATATTTGTTAGTAAATAAGTTTGTTTCCCAAATTTAGTTCTTAGTTTGATTTTACATACATTTTTAATTAATCGTATAGTACTCGTATTATTAATAAAAAAACCCATGGTTGACATAGAAAATGCCATTAGGTGTTAAGTCCACCATATGTACTATTTAAGTACTTATATATGACATGCATTAAAGTTATTTAAATAAATAAATAAATACTTAAATACTTTTACCATTTAATCATCAGGAGGCGCAGACTTAAAAGGCAGTCCTGTCTAAATTAGGTAAATAATTTTTATGTGATTTTTTTAAATGATATATGTTTTTTTGTGAATACATACACACTATACATATAAAACACCCAGGCCGATACAAACAATCATACTCATGAATACAAATGCCCGCACCGTGAGAGGAATCAAACCGGCGATCGAAAAGCGGTGCGCTAAACCGCTAAACCACTGTGGCCGTCGAGTTATAGATATTGATAGCAGGGTCTGTCATCAATCAATCAATAAGGTTACTTAAGTGACTTGCACAGAGTAACGTGAAAGTAAAAGGTCATTGCAAGTTGAGCTTTGTCATATTGACAACTAAAAATATATTTTTTTATGGATGATAAGTTATGGAATGGTGCACCCGTCTGCGCTAACGGTTTACGCTGACGGGGCACCAGTGGAGGCTGATAAGATGAGCCTTAGGTCAGGTCAATTGGACAATAATCACGATGGATAATAATAACACAATCTGTGTTTGCAATTAAATGATGGTAGGGTACATATACTTTATCTTTATGTATTTAGTAGACATTTAATTAATTAGTGATAATAAAATTTCATCTTTATTTATTTATTAAACATCTAAATAATTAGTAAAATAAATTATGAAGCGATAGTTTATAATGCTGAAAAATTTACAATTAAATACTGGCCAACCGTCGCCATGATTGTTATTGTTTTTTTTTTTATTTTACAATATTGACATGCAAAGGTTTCTAGACCATACGGTTTTAATGTGGCGACGGCATGCGTTAATTTTATTATGACAGTTATTTAAAATTCTTTTTCTTCATTACGTAGATAGACCCAAATGTGATTCATATTCCAGTTTAAATAAGTACATTAAACGATTATTAATAGTTTTGTCCATGTTATGCATATGTCCATAAAATAAGGTTTATATAATAAATCTATATTATGGCATTATGTCCTTTGAAACAATGTGCCGCCGGACGCTTATTCTAGTATAAAAAAAAATAAGGAAGCGAGTCTGTAGCATACTCACACTCATGTGCACCGCTAAATTAAGACCAGTCCCACCAACTGACTTTAACAATTCTAAAAATAATACCCAAGCAGTGACGAAACACAACCTAATTTGTTTAATTCACTAATATTGACACTAAAGATAAAAAATACAACTTTTATTGCACATAATAAACAAGAAACACTAGCCGTCAATAAACGCAACAACGCAATGTAATATTTTTTTCAAATCCCGTGAGGATTCCAAATTTGAAATGCGTGCGCGCCTCACGAAAGCGAAAATGGAACTGGTTTGACTCGAACTTCCGTTTTACGTTCTGATTGGTCGAGGCGAACTCGAGAAATTGTATCGACCAATGAGATCGTTTTTGGTAGTAATTTGGTAACGCCTCCCATTGGTTAGCGAGTTCGCTCGCCATTTTTCAGCTCGTGAAACAATTGAAATTGTTATGTAGGCGGATTCCTGACTGACTAGCGCCGGTTAACGTTTATATTAGGGAAACCGTAGATATTTTCGTTTCGTCCCATAACACCCACATCGAGGACAGACAAACAGCTGACTTTATTAAATCATCTGAAATAATAACAAATTTGATGTAACGCGTGAATAGAATGGGACATTGTAACATTTTTGATCAGTTTAAAAAAGATTTCGTTTGTTAAATACATACAATAATAGTTCAAGCATGATATTTAATAATTCATACTACAGTTATACATAGTCACTCTTTCTGTTCCTTTTATTACAAAAAAATACTACTCTCAAATTATTATTTTTTTAACATAAACGGAATAGTAAAAGACCTGGTGACCCACCTGATGGTAAGTGGTAACCGTCACCTATATACATGACCAGCACTACAGACATCACGTTATCATGTGACAGCTGTGATACCACTTATGCGTTGCCATTCCAGAGCAGTAAAAAGTCATGCCTCTTATCCTGTAATTTCTCTGCCTAATCTGTACCTTACAACTGTAACACATCTTGTAGAGCAAGCTGCGTAGTGGCTGAGACTGAGGTACCCAGGCAGACGGGGAGGGAAGGGGATTGTTAGTAATGGGAACTAGTAACCCCCATTGCTAGCAATGTACCATGTTAGGTCGACCTCCACGCGGTTCCTCCTAGAAACCATAGTGATACATTCCCGGTGAATTTGTAACGTTGGGCTAACTGATCTGACTTCATGTTCATCCTATCAACCTCCACTGGTGCCCCGCCAGCGTAAACCGTTAGCGCAGGGGGGTGTATTATTCCATTATCATCCATAAAAAAAAATACCCAGGCAGACGAGTTTTTAGTCTCTGGCATCATTATGAACTACCCATCTTAATGAAAGAGGACTACTGGGTGTGATGAAGGGTATCGGTGCTGCCATGACCACACAGACTATATACCAGACAAACCATCAACTAAGTTAATAAAGTAGATGTTATAAGAAGAAACTACTTATATTAAAAAGTAAATAAAGTATCTATCTTATATTATTACTGACAGTGGTAGGTAATTAGTAGGTACTATCATTATACTCTTATCATCATCCTCCACTGGTGACCCGCCTGCTTAGTTATAAATACAATATACCAATAGCGTAAGCAGATACAATTCCATGATCATCCAAAAAAATTTCAAAAAAAATAAAAACTAGGTTTTTAAAGCGAGCTAATGGCAGTAGAATTAGCGATTACGAATTGGTAGATATATAAAAAATATAGTTCCACCACGCAACAAGACGTGACAAACATTTTTATATATAGATAATGAAATGCAAAGTAAATGGGTCACAAATAAAATTTCTTCTTCCAATTTTTATTTTAAGCACACACTCTAAAATAGAATTCTCGTTCTTAGGTCTCGGGTATAGACTGTTTCTTTTTAATATTATGGCTGTTTGCTATTACACCTTGGTCTTAATTATGTATACCTAGATTTTAACAGAAAATAACAACAACAGGTTACGACACAAGACCATCCACTCCGGATGGTGAAATAGCGAGCTAGTAAATCTTTTATAAGAATCTTAACTGTTAGAAATCACGAAGAAAATTTAAATCAAATCATATGAAAAATAATTTATTCATGTGGGACGTTTTAGCCGCTTATGAACATAATTTTTATTTATATTAATGCACAGATATAGAATATTTTATAAGCAGATAATATAAAAATATATTCTCGAAAGGGATGCCTCGGGGGCGTTTGCTTCACGTTTAGAAACAACTTTAGTGGTTATGCTCAATAAAAATGATTTAACAGATGTTCATTAAGTGTTATAGGATTCTTCAGTATCATTTTGTTTTGACAAATTCATCGAAGGATGAAGCAGTACTACAAGGAAACCAAAGAGAGTCGTCATTACACCGTTAGCGCGGGCGGTTGCATTACATTATCAGTTTATCACCCACTAAAAAAACAGGTAGATAAACTTACCCAACTCTCTCCACCATCTCCATTGTGTTCCATACAAACTCAAACGCGCGTGATTAAGACGTTGAATCATTAATGAACGTGTCAAATAGCCATATGTACAAATATTAAACGGTGCGTTGTTTGAAATGGAATTTGAACTAGTTCTAGTCTAAGAGATGGACTCCTAACTGCGCTCTGAAATGTAACCATAAGATTTTTTTAATGGATGATATTTTTTTTTAATTAATTATAATTCTTTATTGTACATGTATATTATCTTTCAATATATCTCAATATATGTATATTATCGCTTAAGCGATCTCTTTCAGACAACCTTTGGGTAGAGGAGAAAAGACAGAAGTGGATGGCGCATAATGGAATGCAAAAAATATAAATAATAATAATACCTAATGTATCATATATACATACATTATACGTAACATAAATGTACAATAATATAATATAAAATTAAAGAAATATCTATACACAGTAACTATACAATATGAAATTAAGAAAGCGACATTATAGTAGTAAGGTGTAAAGTAGTAAGGACAATATAATAGTGTTATTTTACAGCGTTCATAAAAATGCCTAGTGATTGCGCACTACGTATGTAATATTAAAATTACGTATGTAATATCATTTTAAGATTTTTAATTTTAGGTTCTTAGTAGTACAATTAAGTTATATTAACATTAGAAGGTATAAAATAAAATCGCTATAGGTGTCTGTCCCTATGTATGCTTAAAATTTTAAAACTACGCAATGGATTTTGAAGCGTTTTTTTTAATAGATAGAGTGATCCTAGAGGAAGGTTTATATATATATAATACATGAAAATAATAGAGATGCTTGTAGAGACGTTTATTATAGCAGAGCACAGTGACGGAAGTATCTATAAAACAATTGTATAAAAAGAACTTTCATATTTTAAATATGGATAAAAGAATATAAAAACTGCCAGTCACTCTCATTGTAGGTCTAACTCTAATCAAATCAGAATGCAGAATCTGAGACGAATGTCCAGAAATATCAGTTTGTGATGTTTTATATAAAATTTTCAAATGTTTCTTAATCTTGTGTTATTTTACATTTGTTACTACTTGAGTTTGCTGTTTAGTTATTTCTTGTTAACTTGAGTTGACAGACATTTGTTGTTCAAGTAAGACGTAAATGTACAAAATTGTTCGCAAATGGCTAATTTATGAATACTTTTAAAACATTAGCTAACAAATTGCTTCTTAGGAAGATTACATCATCATAATCTGCTTCTTCCTTATGTCATTTATTTGTGGTCGGTGTAATATGTTTTTCTCTTCCATTCATCCCTGTTGGCAGTCATCTCGTTGTTTACTCCCTTTCTTGTCATATCGACCTACAGTCTATCCATCTCTTTTTCGGCTTTCCTCTGCTCTTATAACCATCCACATTCATATTTAACGACTTCCTTAAAATATTATATATGTAAACTAGCTACTCGCCCTGGTTTCGCACGGGTGTACATATATTGTAGATATAAACCTTCCTCTTGAATCATTCTATTAAAAAAAAACCGTTTCAAAATCCGTAGCGTAGTTTTAAAGATTTAATCATACATACGGAAGGGAAAGACAGCGACAGCGACTTTGTTTTATACTAGACTACACTGAACAAAACTTGAAATCAAGGGAGAATCCTAAAAATATGTAAAAATGATACATATTTTTCAGGAAATGCTCGAATATATATTGTGTGTTTGGACTATATTTTACTGCTAATACAATGTCGCTCAACCTTAAATAACATGATGACGTTATTTAAGGTTGAGTGACATTGTAGTTGCAGGAATAAATATAGTAATGTAATTTATAAAACAAACAATAGTTTAAACAAATTAAATGAAATTAATTATTTACATAGTATTTGGTACATAAGTATATTAAATAAAGTATATTATAGAAATTACTTAACTAAAATAAGTATCGTAATAAGTTACGATACACGTTTTTTATTATTAGAGTAGTTATATTCTTTGTAACCATCGAGTAATCGTTGCCGGCGTTGTTAATGTTATCATTAACAGTATGGTAAACATTTTTAATAAGTTTATAATTATAGTAAGTTAATTTAAACAAAATCCAGGCACCTATTGCGTACAACCTTAGCGACAAAACAGCAATATAAGTTCATTCTGCGTACACACTCAATTAATTTAACTGATTCCATCAAAAAACAAAGCAATATGTCCTAAAATCTGACCAAGTTATAAGCCTATCAAACAATTACCGACAATACAAATCCGTCCCCTCGACTACAATGGACATAAAGTTTATCTAAAACGGAACCGACATACAGTTTGCTCATTTCATTCCTTTCTTTGCACTAAAAAAACATCTTTTAAAAAAAAAAGCGAGTGCCGCCATTAGAATAATCTGTCAAAGGAATTTAAACCGTAGTGCCTTAATATTATAGTCTAAATATTAAAAGATTAGGAATTGGTAGTAATGAATAGCAGTCATTACACGGTTATTTGCCGCCCTTTGTCGTTCGAATTTTGAATAGTAAGCGCGCTTTTGTTACGTGATGTTTAGTGGTATACAGACGTCATCTTGTTTTTAATGTCAGATAATGTGGGGCTTAATAAAATTAGGGATCCATCCACTGTTATATAACTTTAAAATGTCACTCGCCATTAATTTCTAGGAGCCTAAATTCCATTCCTTGATGTGTCCTAACTTTTATTCTTTCTTTCTTTACACAGACATAGAGTCTGTGCTCTTATGATATTAACCTTTTACATTTCAATTTAACTTAAAATATACTCGTATAAATAAATAAAAACTTAGTGGTTGACTGCCCTGATACATTTACTACAAAGGTCGTGAATTCGTAAAACCACAGATAACATAAAATATAA